CAACTGCTGTAATCTCTCTTCTTGTTTATTTTCTTTTTTTCCCTCCAACAACTGACGTAATCTCTCTTCTTGTTTATTTTCTTTTTTTCCCTCTAACAACTGCTGTAATTTCTCTTCTTGTTTATTTTCTTTCTCCTCCAACAACTGCTGTAATCTCTCTTCTTGTTTCTTTTCTTCTTCCTCCAACAACTGCTGTAATCTCTCTTGTTTATTTTGCTGTTCGAGCTGCCATTGTTGTAGGTTTTCTTGCCACTGCTGTAATCTTTCTTTTTATTTCTTTTCTCTTTCTTCTTGTTTCTTTTCTTTTTCCTCTAACAACTGCTGTAATCTCTCTTCTTGTTTATTTTGTTGTTCGAGCTGCCACTGTTGCAGGTTTTCTTGCAACTGCTGTTGTCTCTCTTCTTGTTTCTTTTCTCGTTCGTTTTCTCGTTCTTCTTCTTTCTTTTCTCGTTCGTTTTCTCGTTCTTCTTCTTTCTTTTCTCGTTCATTTTCTCGTTCTTCTTGTTTCTTTGCTGCTCTTGTATTGCTGCCATCAAGTCTGCTAAGCTGTAGTTTGATTTTCCGCCTCTCGTTTCCATTTTTTTTCGTTCCACTTCTGACACCAATTTGTTACGTCTCCGTTTGTTAATTGATTTTCCGTAACTTCGTTCCGACGAAACTTTAGCGACACAAGTCCTCACTTAATAAAACTGGTTTACTCTCTCTGAATATAACTTTATCAATACACTTATTTTCAACAGTCGCTCTATAACAAACGCTATAACATCTCACGTGCTCGTGCTCGACAATACTCAGTTACACTGTACTCTCTGACTGCAGTTCAATTACTCACTACCTACACACATTGTTGTCATGTTGTGAGCGTCTTATATATATACCAGACAAACATATATCTAGTAAATGCTAGGGCATTCACGAAGGTTCGAGAGAAGTGGCGTGACACTATTCACGTGACCTCGCTGACGCAACAACATACTAAGTCTTCTTATATAGTCTACAGTCTACACCAACACTTGCAGTTTCTTTGTCAGTCTCTTCTCACATAGGGCCTCTAATAGGATTTTACCTTGACAGTATCCCTTGTCTTCATCTTGTTCTCGTGTTGTCTGTATTTCCTAATCTATCTGTATATTGACACAATCGATTATGTTCCTCTTTCTTCTTCTTAAGAGTTAGTTCTTCACTTATGTTGACATTATTGTACAACCCTGATTCCACCCAGTGCTCTTAGGTATAGTAGGTCCTCATCTCCTAAGACAAAGTCACTGTCTTCTGGTTCTGCATCTATGATGGCCACACCAAACATCCATCTTTGTTTCAATAACTGCACCAGTTAGGTCTTCTTCTCTCCCGAAATACTTCTTCAACAGATTGGGATGGTAGATCTTAGTTCAAATTCCAGTCTCACCAAACATGCTCGCCCTTTCAGCCGTTGGGGCGTTATAACGTGACGATCAATCCCACTATTCGTTGGTAAAAGAATAGCCCAAGGTGGGTAGTGGTGTATTTAACTGCTAAATTAGGGAGGGCTAGCGCAGATAGCTCTTGTGTAGTTTTGTGCGAAATTCAAACCAAACCAAACTGACCATCAGTATACAGTCCCATCACGAGAGAGGACAAACTCCGAAATGAAATAAGTACTGGGATAGACCTTGTAATGCGATGAATCCATAAGAATTCAGAAGAACAGTCAGTCCAAGTGATAGTCTTTGGAAGAAGGTAGGCGATAGAATATAGTGTGCAGAACATGTACATTACTGTTATCGTTAAATGGATTGAATTTGGCATTATCTTGACCGAATAACAATTTAAAAACCCGTTTAACGACTGAATTTGTTACAACATCTTTCTTTTAACCATACACTTGAAAATTAGTTGTACTGAAGAAATACATTTCGGAACAGATATTTCGTGGAAGTCCCTTTAGCTATAAAACAATTTTTTTAGGAAATATAATAATAATCTTTTTAAATGCTAAGAAAAAGCATTTTATGACAAAAAATTGCATATTAAAAAACAAACAAAAATATTCCAAACTGTTTTACAAGTGATGGGCCTTATGCTAAGTGTGTTTTCAAAAATTACCGTTTAGAATTAAAATTTTGATATTTTTTACTCATACATTTTAAAGCTTGATCCACTATTATTAAATTTCATGATTTTTTTTAAAACAAATTAAAAGGAGAAGCAAAAAAAGTGTACAAAACTATATAGTTACACGTGGATGATAATTAAAAAAACATCCCTATATTACTTTGAATGTTGGAAATATATACACATTTTTCGTTAATATATACATATTTAGTTTCGTTTACCGCCACGCTTTCTTATTGTAAAGGTCAACTCTATTACTTCACGGACGTTTAGGTGTAATGGCAGCGGTTCTGGTTAGCAGAGTTTGTGGACGAGGTGAGGGGATATTTATGAAGTTAAAATATATATATTTTATTAAACTTTTTTAATTAATAGTTTTTAAACTATTTTAGAATGGTTTGTTTTAATTTGACAATAAACGTTTGTTACTACATGAGTATATCATACATCGAAAGTTGAAAATGATTTCTTAAATTGATGAACGTTTTTTTTTAATTGAAGTTGTATAGTATTGTTAGAGTTAGACGGTAACAAAACATTAGTATTATACGATTAGCAGTATTATTTTTCGGTTTCTATATAATTATAAGTATAACTTGGTTTTAATTCGAAACAAAGCTTTATTATACCATACCTTTATCCATTTCGAGCACGCAACTCGTCAGGTAGTGTTAAAATGTCGGTCGTTGAAGGAATGAAAAGTGATTTGAATCAGAGTTGGTTGGTTTGTTTGACAATTGAATGGGCTTTTGTCACATTTTAATTAGGCCTAAAATTTAAACTAACACCCATCTATTAAGAATGACCTAAACTAAGTAAATATCGGACTTACGTCGCGATATGGATAACTTTTGTTAGTGTTTGACAGTTTAATGATCTTAATTTTATGCATTAAGCTAATAAATAGGATTCATTAATTTCTAATTAATATGGGAATCTATCAAATAACAATATTAGATACCTATAATTTATAATTTTTATATTATTTGTATTTTATGAAGTATTTTGCTTAGTAACGCACAAAAAATTAATACAATTATTAAAAGTT